TATATATATATATATATATATATATATATATATATATATATATATATATATATATATATATATATATATATATATATATATATATATATATAGTATATATATATATATATATATATATATATATATATATATATATATATGTATATATATATATATATATATATATATATATATATATATATATATATATATATATATATGTATATGTATATATATATATATATATATATATATATATATATATATATATATATAAGTATACAAACGCACACACACATATATATAACCTTTCTGACACCACACAGTGTGTGTTTCGAATACAAAAACAACACTGGACTGTACTCTCTGTGCGCAGGTGGCGGTGTTGAATACAAGTACCAGCGACTTTACCGTCATAGACGTAGATGAGCGAGAGGCGAGCGTATCTCTCATGGACGCCCATGGCGATACCAAAGACGATGTGGATATGAGCAAGGAGGAGAACGGCACGTGGACAAGTATTAGCGCTGAGCTGATAGAGCGCTTTGGTAAAGGAGAGGAGTTGGTCTGTACTGTGTTCAGTGCGATGGGTAAGGATGTGGTGGTGGGGGTTAAGGCTGAGGAGGCGGAGGGGTGAACGTGCAGCTGTGATAAAAATAAGTGTATAACGAATTGTGTTGGTCTGTGAGACGTCTTGTTGTACTTGATGGGAGAGAGGTTACGGTATAGGGCAAGGAACGTATTAGCGCATACTAAGAAGAGAGCAAACTTCAACTCAGAACACTCAATAGGTAAGGGCAAAAGTATAGAGTTATGGCCTGCTGGAGATATAGTTCACATTTATTAAGTTCCAATAATACATGAACAAACAGCGGTGAAACCGAAGCTCTTAGCGCATCACATAAGTGCCGGAACGCTGGAATGGATTGATACCAAACCGGAAGTATGTCCCACGCACCACACAAGTCCTTTTCCCTCTACGAGTGTCTGACTCCCTATAAACACATTCCACTCTCAGATAGAGTCCCCGGATTGCCATACATCAATATATAAGTATACTTATATAGCGATTGTCAAGTTAAAAAGTGTGATTGTCGTCTGGTACTAATCGAGGGTACTCCACGACGGCCATATGCGCAAGTTATCGCTTAGCCGAGCAGAGATAATATGTACCATATCTGCCGACTTTACAGACAAGAAGCAAGCAATATTTCAAGAGTATTTCAATTTTTATATCATATTTGGAATCTAGAACAAACAAAGCGTTGATCAATGCATTATTCCCTAACGGGCGTAAAGTTTAAGAGTGCTGCCTTGAATTCGCTGATATGCTTAGATTCTACAGCGAAAGAAGACTACATCCTTGCGATGTACACCCCAAAAAAGGGTTCAGTACGCTGGAGCACATTGTCTTCATGACGGATACTGACAATGAGGCCATAGGGTATTGATTTAACAGCTCCATCCATTCATTCTATGTACACCCAAAAAAGCTTTTGATGACTTGCCCTTAAATCTGTACGCTGGAGCACGTTGCCTTCGTGACAGAATTTGTCCATGAAGTCAAAGGGTATTGATATATCCATGCAATACACATCCAAAAAGGCGTCAGCAGACTTCCTCTTAAATTATATACGTTGGAGCAACACTTTCTTAGGCCCAAGAGTATTGATAAACCAGCTTCATAGCATCCAGGTTAGAAGCAAATATGCCATGCTTATCAGAGTTTATGTTGTAATCTGGTACGTGCGGTTCTTCCACCTTGTACTGTCCTGCAACAACATTATTTACATTTTTTTATACTGAACATGGTACTATACACGACAAGGGATGTAATGACAATATTAGTATTTGTTTGGAAAATCTTCGCGCACACGTCTGAAATGCTGCTTACGCCGCCTACATAACTATGCAATAATAATATATATTTGTCTTTTTGCCTTCTCGTTAGAAATAAATATTGGCCTTTTGCCTTCTCTTTTTGCATCTGCAAATCTTGTGTTCAATCGACACTTGCTATATATTTTTTAATCTGTGTTTATTGCAGTGCGAGTGTGTGGTTGGGAAGTCCGGTGGGCGACTGGGGTACGCTACGCAAATGCGAACAGAAAAGAATATGCAATGTACTGTATATGGACTACAATGCCACACATGAAAACCGAACCAGCCAACCATCGCCCAGTTCCCTACTGCTAGTAATAGAAGAGGTTGGTATGTAGCTCATTGCTATCAATTGAATTTGACAGTGATCTGCCCCTCATAATGGCGTCGCTCATGCCCCCCCCCCTCCCCCGCAAATGCGAACAGAAAGAATATGCAATGTACTGTCACACATGAAAACCGAACCAGCCAACCACCGCCCAGTTCCCTACTGCTAGTAATAGAAGAGGTTGGTATATAGCTCATCGCTATCAATTGAATCTGACAGTGATCTGCCCTTCATAATGGCGTCGCTCATGCCCCCCCCCTCCCCGCAAATGCGAACAGAAAAGAATATGCAATGTACTGTATATGGTCTACAATGCCACACATGAAAACCGAACCAGCCAACCATCGCCCAGTTCCCTACTGCTAGTAATAGAAGAGGTTGGTATGTAGCTCATTGCTATCAATTGAATCTGACAGTGATCTGCTCCTCATAATGGCGTCGCTTATGTCCCCCCCCTCCACAGCTTTTAGTGTCGTGTTTCACAACCAATGCCACGCATCAACATTTCACAACGTCAAGTGCCACTGTCAAATGTCACTGTCACGTGTCACATTAAGTGACACTGTCAAGTGTCACGTACCGTAGCGTTCCAGGAGATAGTGATACAGTAAGTGTAATGTCTTGTAACTCGGTGTGGCCATATGTGAATTGGCACCAGCTCGTCATCGATGCTATTCACATCACAGAAAGCGATGTACGGATGTTAATAAGCGCGCACTATCTCTACCATTCCGCCTTTCGTCCCTAGAGGGGAATTAAATACTCCATGTACATACAACCTTGGTATATTCTATATTGATATTCAATCCACTCATACGTACAACCCTAGTACAACGTATGGATTGATATTCAATCCACTCAATGTACATACAACCTTGGTACAACGTATGGATTGATATTCAATCCACTCAATGTAGATACAACCTTAATACAAAGTATGGATTGGTATTTAATCCACTCAATGTACATACAACCTTGGTACAACGTATGGATTGATATTCAATCCACTCAATGTACATACAACCTTGGTACAACGTATGGATTGATATTCAATCCACTCAATGTAGATACAACCTTAATACAAAGTATGGATTGATATTCAATCCACTCAATGTACATACAACCTTGGTACAATGTATGGATTGATATTCAATCCACTCAATGTACATACAACCCTAATACAATGTATGTATTGATATTTAATCCACTCAATGTACCATCGCAGCGCATTTAACGTTTACTATGCCAGCTCTATTCCACTCTCTCTGTTCTTTCTCTCACGTGTTCCCCAAGTTCAATAACCTTCCGGAAACTCTCAGTTTTATCTCTGATGTGTGCCTAAATATAGACTGAGCAGTTGTTGACTGAATCCTCAATCCTCGCAATAGGATGCGCACGCCATTTAGCCATGATCAGACCCACACGTCAATAGTAGTGCGGCTGTGGCTGTAGTGGCCATTTCGTTCATTTGTGAACGCTCAGGCGGGCACCCTAATGCAGAAAGGTAGAGACGGCACCCACAGCCTACGTTTGCATTCACATCGCACACATTCACGCCACACCCATTCCTGGTACGGACAACTGCTGCACGTTCTTCGCCGTCACCCATTCGACTGCCGAGTGCCTTGTTCAATTGCCCGCTTACGCACCTACAGTCCCATTGCTTGCACTGTATATTACAGCCCTTGCATCACGTTGCTTTTGTTAACACGATGTGTGTACCTACTACACACGGCCGAGTCACGAATGCACCTATACACATACGCGGTACTATATATCCTGTGCACAACTCACTGCACGCAGTACTAGTGTCTGCTGCGGTCGGGCAAAGGATCAGGTCCCATCCGAGGCCTGCAAGTGTGGGGTGCTCAACAGCAAGCACGTGGACGATTCTGCTCGGCAGTACCCGACAAGCGTAGTGTATCTACACCCTCAGACCCCTTTGGGACATTATCGGCAGCAGATACAGAGACCAATGCGCTTGCCATTCCGTGATATCTTATAGCACTATGTTCACAAAGTCATATTATAAAACAATAGACTATGGGAAGCACCCCAGGGTTTATCGGCACTTGCCATCTACCTATCTATCACACGCATGTATGTTGTGTAAAATAGCTAGGTGGTGGATGGCAGAATAGACTACACTTGCACACAACGGTCTCATCGGCTTGGTCTGATAGTGACTGCCACATTCGCGGGGTGGTCACAGCCACACCTGCGGACTGTACCTGGGTCATGCAGAAATAGCAATTTTCGAGTGATGCTCCAGTATCTACCAGGACACTTCATTCCACGGCTGAAATATGGAGGCCAGTACGCTTCAGGTATGATTCTCTGCTTCATGACAGGAATTTGAACTCTGTTTTTGTTTTGCGTAAAATCGAAAAAGCCTTGGTGGTCGATGTAGCAAACCTCCTCTACCGTAGCGCATGCGCTATCCTCAACTCCACTCAAACAGAGCCGTTGACGCGCACTGACATTGGAATATGCCCATCGGTAGATCGCACCCCCCGCAAACCCTAAACTCTCGGTACAAAATAGTTTCTGCAAATTCGTTGCCTTGTTCTTCATGGTCTTGAGGACCATATCATGACGTTTACCTGTGACTTAAAAGGCGTAAGTAAGTACACCCCACTCGCCGAAACACCGCTCATGCAGGAATGGGCTCATCCAGCAGTGATTGGTAGAACTCGGCTGGCGGTAGCGCGTCGCCCCACTTGCGCTTGCGGAGGTCCTTGAAGGCCGTCTTGCCCTCGGCTTTGGTGCGGATGGTGCGTTGTAACTGGCCACTTTCAGTACACCCGTCGCAGATCACATGTCCCGTTCGCTTGAGTGTGGGGACGGTCAGGCGTGTCCACTTGCGCGTGACACTGTTCCGGACATTTGCGGTCCCTAAGTTGAAGTTGGGGTGCAAGGTGTGGGTAGACGGGTTGGTATTCGCAGTGAGCTAGGGTTCTTTTGAGCTATTAATAAGAGCTTCGCAAGACACAGTAACGAGACGGACGAGAAGGTTGCCCTCTCAAAATCCTGTGGCATGCGCTAAGATTGTGTAGGGGTTATGTAGGCTTTAGGGTATAGGTAAGACTATGTGGGGTTTAGGATATAAATAAGATTGTGTAGGGTTTCGTGCATAGGTAAGATTATGTAGGGTTTAGGGTATAGGTGAGATTATGTAGGGTTTAGTGCATAGGTAGGATTATGTAGGGTGTAGGGTATAGGTAAGAGTATGTAGGGTTTAGTGCATAGGTAAGATTATGTAGGGTTTAGGGTATAGGTAAGAGTATGTAGGGTTTAGTATATAGGTAAGATTATGTAGGGTTTAGAAGATTATGCAGGGTTTAGGGTATAGGTGAGATTATGTGGGGTTTAGGATATAAATAAGATTGTGTAGGGTTTAGAGTATAGGTAAGAGTATGTAGGGTTTAGGGTATAGGTAAGATTATGTAGGGTTTACGTTTTCATGTATGGCCTCTCACACGCGCCGTTCCTTTCACACTACACCAACGCACATGTGCAACACGGCACAGTGGTCCCATAAACCGTACACAACACACACATACCCTCGTGACTATTGCGGGCGATGACCAGGAACGAGAATGTCTGCATCTTGTAGTTCTGGCTTTTCATTCGATGCGAGCTCATAATCTGCGAAGGCAATTGCAGACGAGTGAATGGCCCAGATGATAAACGTTCAGAGAATGGCCCAGATGATAAAAGTTCACAGAAAAGACAGGCAGACGACAGAATGGCAGTGGCCGCGCCAGGCACGTACAGAGACACAGAGACACGCACAGACACGTACAAACACGCAAAGATACGCACAGGACACGTACATACACAGACAGATACTCACAGAAACGAACATACACGCGCAGACACACTCAGACACGCACACACAAGAACAAACACGTACATACACACACAGACGCGTACAGACATAGACACACACGTACTGACGCGTACAGACACGCACAGACACGAAACGACACGCACAGGACACGTACATACACGCACAGACACGCACAGGACACGTACATACACGCACAGATACGCGCACAGAAACGAACAAAAACGTACAGACACGCACGGACACGCACAGACACGAACCAACACGCACCGACACAAACAGACACGCACATACACACACAGACACGCACAGACGCGCACAGAAACGAACAAAAACGCACAGAAACGTAACGACACACACAGGACACGTACATATACGTACATACACGCACAAAATTGCCAAGACACGCACAGACGCGTAAAAACACATACATACACGCACAGACACGTACATACACGCTCAGATACGCGCAGACACGTGCAGACGCGCACTGACACAAACAAAAACGCACAAACACGTACAGAAACGCAACGATACACACAGGACACGTACATACACATACAGAAACGCACATACACAAACAAACACGCACAGACACAAACAAACACGTACAGAAACGCACAGGACACGCAACGACACACATAGGACACGTACGTACATACACGCACAGAAAGGTACAGACACGGACAGGACACGCACAGACTCGTACATACACGCGCAGAGACACGTACAGAAACGCACAGACACAAACAAACACGTACATACACGCGCAGACACACTCAGACAGGTACAGACACGCACATACACGCACAGACACG